AATCGCGCTTGCAAAGACTATGGAACCCTAAAACAGCCCAAGTCGTCTTCTATTTATGTCCAACGGTGCGAGGTTTGCGCACCGAAGATGGCAAAATGCTAGAAGCGCCGCGCGCGACACGTGCCGCGCGTTTGCAAGAATAGAAGCTTGTGAGCCGTTGTCTCGTACAGCTACAGTATGATGTTGCACGTGTCTCCAACTTCTTTACTTCGCCGTTTTGAGGGAACGAAAGTGGTATGTTCTCTGTGAATGCACATAACATTTCGAGGCACGGAGCCATGTTGAGGACAACTTGATCGTGGGAAGTGTCTTCAACCGGAGCTGAAATCAGACTTAGTGGACGAATTCAGACGCCTGTAGGCACCTGGAACTTTAGGAATCCCAGTAACTAGTGCTTCACTCCACAGGGCCGGTATCCATACGAAATAAAAATATTAAAGATGTGAACAAGAGGCTTTGGCAGGGACAAGACACGTTTTGAGAACGGTGGGGGAGGGGTAATTCCATCATACGTTTCCACAATGGAAGCTGCGGAAGATTCAATGGACGTTCAATTTTTTGAAGCAGTTTAGTGCGATCAACCTTATCGAAGGCTTCAGATAAGTCAGTATAAATCCCATCGACTGATTTGCCCTGAAAAAGCGCCATGTTCCAATCGAATAGGGTATCTACAAGGTTTGTTGGCACTGAATCCCTATCCCCGGCAGAAAGCCGTGATGTCAATCGCTAAGTATGTCTGTAAGTGTGTGTGTGTGTGTGTGTGTGTGTTTGTGTGTGCGTCTGTCTGTCTGTCACGAAATTCATAGCGAGCGTCGCAGAAAAGATAAGATGACAGTTTCAAGAAGTGATGTACATGGCAGGACGGGAAACACTTTCAGGTGGTGTTCAGGTAGGTGATATAACGCCTGATAAGATTATGATAAGAACCGTAGAAGGGAGCGCTGACCGAGTTCGTAGCGGACAATTGCAGCAACCGCGGAACCGTGATTTCAAGAATGATATACAAAGCAAGGATTTGGTAACACTTTTGGTGGGTGACAGGAGGTGATAACACCTGATAAGATTCGATAAGGGGCCTTTAGAAGGGAGGGTGACCGAAATCGTAGCGCGAGTTGCAGCAGCTGTGGGACCTAGATTTCAAGGAGTGGTATACATGGCAGGACGGGCACACTTTTGATGGGTGACAGAAAACTGATAACATCTGATATGACTTGATAAGGGGCCTTAAACGTGGAGGGTCACCAGATTAGTATCGCAGGTAGCAGAGACCGTGGGACCTTGATTTCAAGAAGTGGTATAAGGGAGGGATGGACATAAATGGGGGGGGAGGCAGGTGATAACACCTGATAAGATTCGATAAGGGGCCCTTAGACTCGGAGGGTCACCAAATTCGTAACATCGGCAGCAGTGAATTGAGACTTTGGTTCCGAGATGGTATACCAGCAGGGGCGAGGTGGGTATCAGAATCTAATAACATATGATAAGATTCAATAGTGGGTCTCAGTCAGAGAGGAGGGTCACCAAATTCGTAGGGCGGGTTGCAGGATCTATGGGACCTTGATTCCAAGAAGTGGTATAGGGGTAGGGGCTGACACCCAGTGACGGGTGGACACTAGTGACAGCAAACGTGATAAGAGCTTGAAAAGCGGTCATGCGAAATCCGCAACATCGCTTCGAACCAACAATGCAACTGATATGATCTAGGTATCAGGCTCTCAGTATTTCGTACACAACTCGTTCTTATGCTCTTACCGCTATCGACATCATGTACGGCCGCTAAAGCAACTGGAGCTCAGATGCATGATGGTTGTTTACTCAGTTGCCATAAACAGCAGCAACTGCCTTTATCACTATGACCATGACTATCTTCCATCAACAACCTGAGAGAGGACCATTCGAAGCGCTAGACTGCCGAAAGCGGGGACCAGAGTGCATTCCAGCAAAAAAGCTTTCAGTGGTGGATAACCCATCAAGCGGTAGGATGCTTCAAAGGTTGCTCTCACAGGCTGCTGAATGTTCGCGTGCAGGTTATGGAGAAGTTTGATACTAACCCCGAGAAAAGAATGGACAAAAGGATAGATTTCAGTGTTACATTGGTGTAATGGTCACAATGTGTACAGGCCGGACAGTAACGCGAAGTATTTTTTTCCTACTACACTGCGTCCCAAAAGTATACAGCCACCCATAAATCTCACAATATCCCTCCCTACACGACGTTTTCAAAAAAGCCTCTAGGTATAAAATGTGGTAATTACCAGTACCAATTTGCATGCCAACTCCGAGAACTGACTTTCCACAGCAACTTCAACTTTCTTTATTTTTTGAAAATTTCTCACTATGACAATGTCCCACAAGTATACAGCCACTAAACGAATCGATTCAGAAAACAACAAGTGTACAACAAATTTAATAAATCGTCGTTTCAATAATCTATTGCAGCCCCATTCTTTCGAATAAGTTCGAAAATGCGGTTGTCCATGCTCGAATAGAGGTGGTCTATAAGTGTTTTGTCGACATGGTGCCATGCATCAATGATAGCCTCCTTGAGCTCACGGACATTTTCGAATCGCGCATTGTGCACGTATATCCTGCGTGCCATGAAGCCCCAAACATTCTCGATAGGGTTTAGGTCTGGGCTATTCGCTGGCCAGGGCAAAAGAGTGATCTGATGACGGCTGAACCACGCTTGAGTGCTCCGGCTGACATGGATTGGTGCATTGTCTTGCACGAATACAGGACTTTCATGCCGTATCCTTCGCCAGAAAGGTAACAGACCTCGTCGCATTACCTCTACGTAGTCAGAAGAGTTCATTTTCTTCGATACGAAGCACAGCTTCAAACGTCCCGTTGATGCGATCGTAGCCCATACCATGACACCACCCCTTCTAAAGTTCCGCCTCGAAAAATTGAGCTCATCTTATTTCTCTGAGATTCGCTGCCAGCTAGAATCAACTTTCCATCGGGCCGTCGCAGTTGAACTTCTTCTCATCGGAAAACACGACCTAGAAAAAAAAACTGAAAAGACAAGCAGGGGGGGGGCACCGCAGCACGAAAGCTAACCTTGGCACCAGTGCTCCAGTCGGTTCGGCGAAGCATCTTCTAGCAAAGGCGAGTCGGTTTTCGCGATGGCGGTCTGTCAGGAACGGTGCCTTCCTCATTTTCTCTCTGATGATGAACTCTGACTTCTTCAAGACACGCCAAACAGTATTTTTCGAGACATTGAGATTCAGCGATGACTTTATTTCCCTGCATGACATGGAGTTGGAGTGGAGTTGAACCTCTCAGGATAGGACGTTTATCTCGTTCAGACAGCACAGGAGGACGCCCAGATCTCTTCCTGACTCCATATCCTGCGGGATCCCTGACAAACTGATCGATAACATAATGACTGCGGCCCAACTCTCTTGCGATTTGACGATTCGACAGTCCTTGAGCCTTCTTTGCGATAATCTGCCCCTTTTCGAAGTCAGACAGTGAAAACCCTCTCGCCATAACCTGGAAATGTCAAAGGTAGAGATGATGAGAAAGTTTACACGAAAAAAAATGAGAGCGCAATGGGAAAAAATATGCGGTGGCTGTATACTTGTGGGACATTGTCATAGTGAGAAATCTTCAAAAAATAAAGAAAGTTGAAGTTGCTGTGGAAAGTCAGTTCTCGGAGTTGGCATGCAAATTGGTACTGGTAATTACCACATTTTATACCTAGAGGCTTTTTTTGAAAACGTCGTGTAGGAGGGATATTGTGAGATTTATGGGTGGCTGTATACTTTTGGGACGCAGTGTACTATATAATCCGCCTATGTGTGTGTCACGCGCAATTCATCGCCGACCGCAGTTAGTCGGTGAGAAATTAGGTTGACCGAGTAAGGGACGTAATGGTTTCTGATGGGAACACTATTGTTGGGTGACAGGAAGTGTATCAACTAGACAGATTTTGATAAGAGGCTGTCTGAAGTGGCGTGGTCACCATATTGTATAACGCCGGCGTCGACAGCTTCAACTACCATAGCTCTTGATTCTAAGATATGATGCAGGTACAGGCCAAGAACATTATTTTTTGGTGAAAAGAACCGCGAGCTGCTGATAAGATTCCTCTTCTCTCAGGAATTCTCAAGGTTGAAAGTCTGTAGTAAGCAAGAGGGACCATATGTGTCTGCGGTGTTGGTAGCCTCTGCTCCATGTAAAGGAAGGTTGACGCCTTACTCCTATCTCGCGGGATCTTCGCACCCTTCCAGTCGCAGTTTCCTGCAGCGTTATAGGACTTGTATATTAAAACTGCGTCTCCATGAGTCGCAACCTCACGAGATTCCCGCCGTAAAGCGACCCCACGTTCAGGGATTTCCCAATTCGAACTAGCTTCTTTGGCCGAGGTCGTTCACCCCTCGGTAGCCCTCGCATACTGACCACAGAACTCGGGCGAGGGTTCTGCGCGCCACTTCCGGGTGACGTCCTAGCTTTTACACTGATTCTATTGCGACTTGTCATGGTTGTTGTGACGGGTTCCTCCATCAGCCGGCCTGTCAACCTGGGCCTGACGCTGGTATCGTCCCCATTTTTGCAATTTTTGCAAGGCAGGTTTGTGCCTCGGCAGGGATCGAACTCGTGGCTCAGAGTGAGATTATGAGTCTACACTCTTAACCACTCGGCTATCCCTGCCTCAAACAGCGAAGCCACCGTTTAGCGCATTCTACCGTGCCCGAGGAAGGAGTGCCTGGCGAAGCCGGGCCGTGAACCAGAAGGACACCCGGCGACAGCCGGGTGATCCGACTGGTAGCTTTGATCCTATAAAGCAGATATTCGATACACCATGACCACTCCAGGTTTTCTTAGATTCTTCGAACTGTCCTCCGATGGCAAAAAAAAGTGAAATCACCACAATTATTTTATTGATGGAAAAAAATCCAAAAGCAACAAACAATACATGACGAGCATATAACAAGAAAAACTGCTATGGTCGTGTATGATCTCTTAAATCTGACAGAAACACTGTTGAGATGCCTTCAGAACCTTGTCGGTCGCCCGTGTGATTTTGGACCGAGTGCTTGCTGGTTACCGACTTGTCTAGCTCTACCGCTAGTGGTCAAAGCGGTGCAGACTGCTCGAGCACAGAAGGTACCCGACCTGTAAAACAACGATTGTGTGGACCACGGATAGGGTATTCCCATGAGACGGGCAAATGAGCCAATCACCCTGGAGGGCATTATTTCGGGTCGCAAATGTTAAACCAGTACTAGTAGTAAGGACCCATGAACGAGAACAAAAAATGAGGTTATGGGTTACACCACAACCGGAGGGCAAGATCACTTATGGGTATGGAATTCATCGATTCGCCATCTACCAGGGAGAACATTGGACATGTTCGACCGACCAACTAGTTTCGAATCACATGTTTAAAAAGGGTAGTTTCAACATCAAACTTCTAAGAACGTAAAAATAAATAACAAGCATTCCCAACAGAGCTATTGATTTTCGAACAAACAAAGCAATTCACAAAAAAAATATAAACCCACACAGAATGAGGATGCAACAGCGAGAATAGATCGGAAGCAGAGGAGAGAAATCTCACTCACTGGGATGGAGGAGGTGGAGGTGGCGGAGGAGCTGAAGCATCATAATATGTATAGACAGGTCTTCTTGCTGGCTGCTGATCTGTGTGGAGGAGGTGGATGGAAAACCACCCATTGGTGGAGGCGGTGGCGGTGGCACGGGTAATGGCATCGTTGTCGCGCCTATACCATCCGGAGTAGTCTCTGAAACTTCACACTTTTAGAAAGAGATCTGGGATATATATACCATTTTCACTTCAAATTCACCACTTTTCAAAGCAAATTCACCACTTTTCAAAGCAAATTCACCACTTTTCAAAGCAAATTCACCACTTTTCAAAGCAAATTCACCACTTTCCAAAGCAAATTCACCACTTTCAAACCAAATTCCTCTTACTTAGCGACCAGGCAGTACACAGCCAGTCACGCAAGCACACACGCGAACCCGCCCCGACGGTCACGCCTACTTGTCAGCGCGGACATAGATTTTCAACACATGACTGACTCCGCCCATTCTTTAAAGTTTGTTGCGAACTTCAAATCTTCATAACTTTTTCAATTTTTAATTTCACATCCACTCTTCGCACAACGAAGTACTCGTAGACGCGCATTCATGCACCGGCAATTTAGGCCCGCCCCCTCGGCCACGGCCCACTGCTGTTTGCGGAATCATATTTTTCAAAAGTTTTTTTGCATTTTTTGGACTGCTCCACGAAGTCCCGCCCACTGTGAGAGGCTCCGCCCACTTTGAAGAAGCCTCGCCCACTTTTCAAAAATGGTGCAAATCGGCAGTATAGAGCCTTGGCTTGCATGCTAGGGCCTCGTCCGTCACTCGGAACAAACTTTGCCTGATTAATTGCCTAACTAATTAACTAACTATTGCTTAACTTTGCCTGTGCAAAGTGCATAGCCAATCCAAATAGACCAACCCATACCTGTTCACCGTGCTTCCTTCAGAATTCGAAGGAATTTAATCCTTTAGACGAGTCATCGAGAAGCGCTCACCAGTTCCTTCCCTTGAACGATTCTCTAAAACACTGACGACTGTGAAGACAGCATCAACGGTGAACATAAACTAGAGTGATAAGGAGGGGTTAAGTGTGAATTTACAAGAGCGGCATCGTGCGCGTTGACTCAAGAGAGTCGACCCGCGGTGCCATGTAAGGTGTATCATGCCTTGCTGAAAACCGTGTCTTTGGAAACTTTGAGAGGATACATTTCTATGTACGCGTACATGTATGCGTGTACATTGAAATAGATGTGTTTGTACGTATTCGCGTGTATGGGTGCATGGAGTATGTATAATATATTAATATTTCTAGGGAGGAGTTTCAGGAAGAAAAACGATTGTAGTTGGGGAAAATTTTCACAAGCCGATGGGATGCCGTACACCTTCTCATGGATAGCTACCGATTACGGCTTCATTAGAGCGCACGAGGATCACTCAATAGAGTTTGGACTCAGCAGAGCACCGAAAGAGCGGAGAACAGATGAAGCTCCGACCCCAAGAAAAATCCTTTTCACTCACTCAGACCCTCCAAGAGGAAGAATTGAAAAGAACTGCTAAAACCCTACGAAGCGGCCTTAAAGGCAGCGTTCGCGTTCATTTATTGTTTCCACGCCCTCTTTGCCATATCGTAGCTCACCCTATGAGGATGTTGGACGCTACTAGTTATACGCAACTCAAAAATGCGAGAGATAGCCGCGCCCGCTCGTGAAGAGTCGGCCACCCCGCCCACCTGGCGACCACTACGCCCATTTTCATTTCATGTAGTTGCCTGGTGCGAGTTGTTCTGCAGCATGGTAAAACATCTCTCCACGTCGAGTGGTGAGAGTGAAGTGATAAGGGAAAACAGCTGATATCAACAAGTGAGAACTCGTGCGACCACAGCTTCTTTTCGCCTTGAACAACGCACAACGTCAGCTCGGCATAGGGTCCTATACAGGGCATATCCGATGATTTTATTTGCATTTTCCTTCACTAGTGAGCTCCGTGCTACCTTGTTTTCAGTGTCTAAGCCCCATAACTCTGACTTGAACGCGGGCGCTGCCTTCAATTAGGTGCAGTTAGTTGAGGGCTAGAGAGAATCACAACGGAGCAACCTCTATTGAGCGAGTCACTGAGTATCTTTCACCGATCCCACCTCTGTAGGATTCCCTGAAACAAATCAATCCTGCTGACGGCGAAAGTCAGTCTAAAAGAGGGTGCATTCCAGTTTGATACGGGCATTCAAACTGGTATTACCGATCTTGTATTAGTCTGCTTTGTGATCACCTTCACATCCCTGTTGATTAAAGTGGTGGTTCATTTGCACCGCTTCACAAGGAACTGTTCGTTGACTGGGACTACCAAAAGTTGGAATGCCCTCCTTCCTCTCTCGTGATAGAAACAGAGTTCGTGAGCCGCTGCTACCGTAACCCACCTTCTCCAAGCGCAGTCATCATCATCCTAGACGCTGAGGCTCGCAGCAGCGCGAAACGATCTTTGCCACCAGACCATGGAATCAGTGTGATGGAGGTGATAATGGCAAATGAAAAACTCCCTCAAATTCGAAAAATCAAAGCCAGCACGCGCCAACTACGGTACCAGCCGAGTTACTGCATGCGAAATCGTTCCGGCCTGCCGGTCGAACAGCTCCCAAATGAGAGCAATGTTACGGTACCTGTTGGTCGTGCTCCCGTCAAAAGGATCTGCATTCATATATCTATCAATCTGATCTTTTGGCCGAGTAGCCGTGAATCTCTCGCCAACTCCACCAGTGTCTGTTTGCCTGGAACAATAATGCATCAGCGAGAGAAACACTACGCCGAGGAGACTGCCGCACTGTACCTGTTGACTGTGTTTAAGTCTAAAGGATCAGAGTCTCCGCCAAAGTGAACACTCGGATGATAATATTGGGAGAGTGTCACCTGTTCCTTCTCGTATACGACTTCTCTAAAGAGATCAGTGGTGATAGAAATAGCTGAAAAGCTGGAGTATTCTCAATAGTACCTGCTAGTGGTTCTCGCGTCCATTAGATCAGTATTCATATCGATTTGGTCCCCAGGATGAATCATCAAGAACCTTTCTGGAACTCCTGTATTCCACTTATACGAATCCCTGAAATAATGGCAGATGGAGTGATAGAACAGCTTCGGGGCCAGGGGAAGGACGCCATTCGGTCACGCTTCTGTATCCTTTCCCCGAAAAGGCTCAGACAAAAGCGCAGACGACCAGAGTGGGAGGATAGTGTCGCAGGGAAGACATCATCTCCTATGCGGCACTGTGCCTGAGCCTCGACTAGATAAGGTATATGAAAGCGCTGCCGAGTGGTCAGTCCTGCCCCCACCCCACCCAAATACGTTAGCGCCCAGCTTTAGGACGATTATCCCCAGCTTCAATTACCGCGACGTTGTTTTAG